TTTGGGTGGAGGGTGGGTGGGGGGGTATAGTGGAGCGAGGCAGTGAAGGTCATGGTGAATATGGGTGGTGGAGGTGGGTGGGGGTGGTGAGGGGGGAGGGGGTAAGATGAGGTGGGGGTGAGGGAGTAAGGTGGGGGAGGGTGGGTTAGTGTCACAATAACCCTTACACACACACACACACACACACACACACACACACACACACACACACACGCACACGCACACACACACACACACACCTTTACCACTACGGTTTCACCATAATTCACAACCACCTCATTCCACCACCACCACTATTACCACCATCCCAACCCTTCACCACCACCTCCTTCCACAATAACAACCTCCGTCTCCATCTCCACCAATAACCTCCAACCTCGTCCACCTTCACCTCTGACCTCCCAGCCTTTGTAGCAGGAGCAGTCCTGACTGGTCCCTCCTCCTTCCGTCACACCACACCTCCTCCCTCACACCACAACCTCCTCCCTCACACCATTCATCTCACTATCTCTCTCTCTCTCTCTCACCATCTCACTATCTCTCTCTCTCTCACCATCTCACCATCTCTCTCTCTCTCACCATCTCACTATCTCTCTCTCTCTCACCATCTCACTATCTCTCCCTCTCTCATTTACCTTAAGAACACTGCTGGAAACAAAGATGGACTGGCAAAAGGTAAAGTGTGACAGGTGTGTAAAGTGTGACAGGTGTAGGGAGGTGTGGACGGTGTGACAGGTGTGACAGGTGTGGGAGATGTGACAGGTGTGGCAGTGATCATAGTGGCACCTCCAGTGTCATGACCTGACTGAACTACTCATATTAGAGCCATAAGCAAATAGTACCACAATTTTGCCAACAAAGATGTTAAACTAAATGGTGGCTCCCCCTATCACCCTTTCCTTACCCCACCCCTTCCATGGTCTAGTCCCTACCTTTCCTCTCCCCTCCCACGGTATCCTATATTTTCCCTGGACGCCACCCCTTCCCTCAAATCACCCTTTCTTTCCCCCATATCCCTCCCACCTGTTTCCCTTTTCCTTTCCTTCACTTTAGCACCCCTTCCGTCTCACTGGTCGTTCCCCCATATCCTTTTTCTTTCCCTATATAAAATACGAGTCCCACGTCTCTTCTTCCCTCTTAAGATCACGATTCTCAAAGGTTCCTACGATATATTTCCCCCGTCGTAACTGGAGACGTGAGAACCTATCTAACTCACTCGCTTACAAAACTACACAAAAGTTGGTATCCATAATGGCGTCGAAACTTCACTGAAACTCAATCGTAACTCAAGAATTCTCTCACATCCGGTTAAGTTAGGAATGTTTTGGCGATTATTTATGACTTATACAGGTATTTTAAAAGTCTTTTCCCCCATCCCCTCCCGACCCTAGGCCTATAGCGCCATATTACTCCCTTCCCCTAGGCCTATGGTGCAATATTACCCCCTCCCACACCTATAATAGACGAGTATTTCTCAATGCCAATCCCCAAAGCCAGTATTTTACACAATCCTTTAAATCTACATATACAATCTGGCTCTCACTTCCCCTACCAGCTTTATCCTCTTACGTGTGTCTGTCTTTCTACTCTCATCCTTTCCCTCCCCTTTCACCTCTCCTCTCTCTCACCCTTGATTTAAACTTCCCATTCTCCATCGTCTTTCAACAACGTCTCAATTTAAATCACATTGTGCAATTTTCTCCTCTAGATAATATAGATAAAAACATTCATTATATAAATACAATATTACAAAAAGTACAAAACTGATAAGAAAAAATACAAAATACAAAATAAAACATTAAGATACAACATAACAGCTGGTCAAGAAGTTACACAACACAATACATAACCTAACACGTGTAAACCAACAGGTGTTACGTCAGACAGATTATACCCTCTACTGTATTACGAGAAGCTTAAAAGTTAACACACCTGAGTAAAAATCGACAGGTAAACAAAATTAACCCAGATACCTATCCGAAAACCTTGAGACAACAGCTTCTAAACAGAATCTCGGAAGGTGATATAAAGATTAGCAACACAATTACCTTGAATGATGAGGTAATCGGTGACCTCGAGGATGACATATAAATATAACATACAGAACAACAGATAAACCTTGAAAGTTACTAGAGTTAATAGTGTAATGAAACAACCTCGGATATTGTGGTAATTCTTACGACTCTCAGCACATCTTGCCTACCTCAAGTTGTACTCTGTGTTTAAGCGACCTTCAGTAAACAGTAGGTCATATTCTACCCCCCATATTCCTAAGTCAATCCCGCGACTCAATACCAATTACAAAATTGAAGTGATATTTTGAATCTTAAGTTCAGTTTCAATACCACAATGTCAAAATCTCTGTCAAAGTCTTTATTTAGAATCAAAATCAATGTCAAATATGTACCTGTATACGTATGTCTGTATTTGTGTGTACTTGTATCTGTGTCTGTCCGTGAATTTGTATCTGTACTTACATATGTGTACATGTACGTGTATCTATCACTGCACTGATCTATCTATCTATCTATCTATCAATCCTGTTGTCTTAACCATCCTAGAAACCTTGTCATTCATCACTAAAAGAAACTCCTTCATTCTTCAATCCAGACACACACACCTTTTCATTCTTCATTCCCGAGGGGGGGTTTATATTCACTCATTCTTTAAACTACCCTTCATTCTTCATTCACTGGATTTTCATTCTTCATTCCCTGGACCATTTCAATCCCTAACCTCTTCAACTTCTGCATTCATCTATTTACAATTGTCCTTGCCACTTCTCCTTCTCCTTCTCTCCTCCCCTCTACTCTCTCTCTCTCGTTCACTCACTCGTACAGCTGTCTCGCCCTCACAACCAGTCCCCTCGAAAAGAGACGGTCTGCACGCTATTGAGTTATTCTGTCTCTGTGGACGGGAACCTGTCTTTGTATGTACAGTACTTTATGTAATTAGGTGAATCTGATGCTGTCTAATTACACTTCGATAATTTATTTGCTTGAATTCGGAGTTTTAGATCTGCGAGAGAGAGAGAGAGAGAGAGAGAGAGAGAGAGAGAGAGAGATTCACAGTAAAATCATCATGCAAATTCACATTGGTTCGACATATACAAACAATGAACTTTCTTTTTTTTACAATTTTGCGTTAGACAATATGGCAACGGACGAAGGATTTTGACAGCCCTACCGAGACAACAGGGGTCATAGTGTTCATTTTGGAATTCATCGGCCACTTTGTACATAGACAGTGCAGGTAAAGACAGAATCGATTCAACTAAAGGCTACCTCAAGATATGTTGGAGCTATTATATTATAGTATAGCATTTGTATTTTTCTCTAAATAAAGATTTGTAATATATTTTTTTCCTTTTGACCTGACCTAATCTGACCTAACCAAATCAATCCTTCTAGAGTGCACACTAACTTCCGGTAACCTTTGACCTTAACATGAGTAAGGTCATTCGAGGAGGAGGAACCACATGTTAGGCAAAATCTAGACAAAGTTAATACAATTCCTATGTGATTTTTGCTCTTAAGTCACCCAGTTGAGTGACGTCCGTAAACACTGAATATAAAAAACTGTGAACGCTAGAGTGTAAACATATACTATAAACAAGACAAGCAAACAACCAACAAACAAGTTAATATGAGACAAATATTCCATCTCGTCAAATAAAAAAAAAGTTAAACAGAAAAAAAACAGAAACAAGAAAAATCGGGTTTAAAAAAAAGAATTAAAAAAAAGAGGTTTATCAAGAACATCTTTTCTTAACACACAGCATCGAGGGGGCACCTGGACGCACCAGAGTTATCAAGAGGTGAGAAGGTTGGAGGTGAGGTGAGGTGTGGAGGTGAGGTGAGGTTGGGAGGTGAGGTGAGGTTGTGAGGTGAGGTTGAGAAGAGGTGAAATATTAGAACTTGTGAGTGACCTTAAAATATGATCAAGTGCTATGCTACTACTGATGACTTCCAGAGATCTAAGAATAAACAGTATGTACTCTCTCTCTCTCTCTCTCTCTCTCTCTCTCTCTCTCTCTCTCTCTTTTCTGTCATTCTCTGTTTCAATCAATACTCTTATATTTTTCCCCTTTACCTCACACACACACACACACACACTTACGATGGGATGATGTATGTACGTAAGTTCAATAAAATATAAAATTACTGCCGGGAGAAATAAGAACACTCTCTCGCCAATATTAAATACCCTTAAAATCGATACTGAAAAACTTGTCGTGAAAGTGTGTAAGGGTTCCCCCCCCCTCTCCCCCCCGACTCACTTGTCCCTCCCCTCCCTTTCTCTCTCCTCCCTCCCTCTCTCTCTCCTCTCTCTCCCCGCATTCCACTACCCTCTCTCAACCCCAACGCCCGACCCACCTCCGGTTAACAAGGGCATTCACTACCATCTCCAGGGATCACCTTATTTTATCTATATTACAGTTTGGCCGCGTATAATGGCCCTTTTTATCTAATTAAGCAAAGTATCAACTACGTCACCAACTCATAATGTAAACAAAAGCCCTGAGAATGAGCAATACTTTACATTAAAATATTATATTTAGATATATAAAATGGAATTTAAGCCACTCTAGCACATAGATTTAATTCATTTTCACCTTAGGGTGAAAAGGGCACACACAAGGCTGGTCCCCTACTGGACTAGAGCGTACATTCCCAGAGCTCATGCCTTTCTTACTCGGAGTAAGTCCCCCCCTTTCCGCGCCCCCACTCCCCCCGCTCGGCCCACGGCCCGACGCACAAGGTAATTTTATTACCTTTCGTTCGCTCACTTTATATTGTATAGTTCTGTATGTGTCATGAGAGAGTCGCTCTGTCTATCAGATTAAATTCGTTTCTGAATTATGCGTTACAGTTTTATTTTAAGTCTACCTCAGAGACGGTTCTTTAAGATACATAGAACATGATGTATCTAGTGAGAGAGAGGAGAAATGTGGGAGACTCGAGTGAGAAAGGTTGGACCACGACTTCCTCGAGTGTATCATGCCGACGCCGCCTCGCTGTGTTCAAATTTCCCGCGCACAACGTCACGATCCACTAGCCAATGAAAGAACGACTGTGGGTTCACGTGACTTGCGAAGTCCAAGCAACAGCTATGGAGAGAACCTCTCGCCAGTCAAGATGGAGGTCTGTGGAGAGGACACATCGTGTCCACAAACTACACATATTTCGTGTTTATACCCAGAGATCTTAGCACTCATATTCAGTTACTTGGACGTTAAAGACAAGGGGCGTGTGGCTCAAGTGTGTACTAACTGGCGTGACGCTGCCTATCACAAGAGTGTGTGGAGAGGAGTAGAGGCCAAGCTCCACCTGCGCAGGGCCAACCCGTCTTTGTTCGAGTCGCTGGGGTGTCGAGGTATCCGCCGCGTGCAGGTGCTGTCGCTGCGGCGGGTGCTGAGGGACGTGATCAGCGGTGTGCCCAACATCACCTCCCTCAACCTGTCCGGCTGCTACAACGTCTCTGACATCAGCCTCACGCACGCCTTCGCCAATGAGTGTCCCTCCCTCACCCACCTCAACCTCTCGCTCTGTAAACAGATCTCCGATTCCTCGTTGGGCAAAATAGCGCAACAGCTGAGGAACCTGGAGGTGTTGGAGCTGGGAGGATGTTCTTACATTACGAACACTGGACTACTGTTAGTGGCGTGGGGTTTAAAGAAATTACGGAGACTAAACTTAAGATCGTGTTGTTTAGTGAGCAACCAGGGTATCGCCTACCTGGCCGGGCAGCACCAGGAGGCAGCTGACGGCACTACGGCGCTCGAGCACCTGGGCCTCCAAGACTGCCAGAAGCTGTCAGACGAGGCCCTCCGGCATGTCGCTAACGGCCTCCCTAACCTCAAGAGTATAAACCTCTCCTTCTGCGCTAGCATCACAGACTCTGGACTCAAATATCTAGCGCGGATGCCTAGCCTTCGTGAACTAAACCTAAGATCGTGTGATAACATCTCGGACATCGGAATAGCCTACCTGGCGGAGGGGGGTTCGCGGATAACCACGCTGGATGTGTCTTTCTGTGACAAGATCGGGGACCAGGCACTGGTTCACATATCCCAGGGCTTGTTTACCTTACGTTCACTCTCCTGTTCGGCGTGTCAAATCAGTGACGACGGCATCCATCGCATCGCACGAACACTGCACGAGCTAGACACCCTCAACATCGGTCAGTGTGTGAGAGTCACTGACAAGGGGTTGCAGTTGATCGCCGAACACCTCACCAACCTTTACTGCATCGACCTCTACGGTTGTAACCGCATCACTACGGTGGGACTAGAGAGAATCATGCAGTTACCCCGCCTGTCTGTGCTAAACCTGGGTCTGTGGCACAAACACAGGCGGTGACGCTTGTCTCACCTAGGACACCATAACCAATCTCCGGCCCAGGACCACCAGGTGCTCAGTCCCACCAAACACTCAAGGTAAAATTATCCTCATGCAGGTACTGGCTCCAAGTCTACGGTAACCTCTGCCAGGACCGCGTGACAGTGAATATTTCCTTGGTCGTATACTCGGTACCATGTTGCTTCTGCGGCTTCACTATTAAGGGCTGTGCTATACAGATAGACACTTCGTGGAGACTTGCTGAAGTGTGTCAGGGAAATATTCCTATAATGTATACCATTCAAAACCAATCCCAGTGTCGCCTCGCACTGAACAGGTGTCCACGAAGAGTTATCTTGTGTCGTCATGTGAACGTGTCTAACCAGTGCCATGAAACCTCACCTTCAATCCTCCCACCATGAATGAACAGTTTCCCTCTTCCGTGCCATGAAAGTGTTGCTGACTTCACAGGTATTCGCTAAGGTTTTCTGTTTTAAGAAGGTCTTATACTGTATATCGGTAAATACAACGAAATGACACCATATTAGTGTCCATTGCGTATCCTACATTGTTCAAAGGTCCCTCGCAACTGTAAGGTTTGTGGCAACACTGAAGAGGGACCACGGTGCCAATCAATGCCAACTGTCAAGTTTGGTGTCAAAGTTAGTGAAGAAATGCCATTGAATTCTCGAACATATGACCATTTGTATATAATGTAGTGCCGTGATAACCCATGTGATATGTGTGTATGTGCGAGTATAACTAAGGATATTATGCCTAGCTAAGAAGCGGTACACTGTAGGCGATGTTCCACTAGAATGAATGATCCTGTAATTAGTGTTTTAAGATGCAATATCAATGCTTCTTGTGTAAATATTATATATAATATAAACATAGATTTATATATTAAATGCGGGCTTAAGGTATGAAGCCCAAAATGTGAAGAAGGTACCTGGAGTAAGACTTCATAAGTAATACTGCATGTCAGCAGGCTATGAACATACATACATACATCACCAGTAGCATGTTTATATATACTAGCTGGTGAAGACGATGTTATCAGGAATGAGAGTCACGTGGGCGGGAGGGAGGCGGGGAGGGTAGACCCGTAATACCTGTTCCAGTCAGCACTAAGCAACGTAACACATCCTTGTTGTTGTAAACTTCCCATCTGTTTACTATTAACTTATACTGAATGGAGCCTTGAATAATGACCGGTATCTCTACCACACATTACGCTGACTCTGCCTCCCCCTCACCCACAGACTCCAATCATCGTTTATATCTGGTTGTTTCCGGACAACTTCTCAAGTGTATTGTGGGTTAGCATTGTACACCCCCTCCCCCTCTCTCTCCATGCCAGGGGCCGCGGGGCACACATGTCACCTGAGCTGAGACAATCCCTCCTCCCTTATTTTTTTTTCCAGTCAGTCACTTCCCGGTTAAACATTTTTATTTTTACCAATGTGATTATTTAAATAGTTTTACTCCCGGGAACAACTGTTATCACCTCCACGTGTTGTCTTTCCTTGACCACAACAATAGGTATTTATCACAGTACAATTACCTGTCCTGATTTGATTGGTATGTGTGGCAATTTACCCCAAATCATTATATCACGGTTGTATGTCATTACTTGCCGTACTGGTGTCTGTTATGAGTATTTGTGTTTATCATTTATCAAAGTCTAAACATCTTTATATTTTGAAAATGTCTTAATTTTTTTCACTATTAAATTCAGAGCTCATACTTGACACCTAACCTAACCCATTGTACCTTATAGCCCTGAGTGTCATGACCCCATCAACAGTACCACAGTCAACCACGACGCTGTATAGGCCTTTACGAACTATATTGACTAACTATATAACATCATCCAAAGTTGGGTTTAAATAGCTGCTACTTTATTCTGGCCAATATGCCTACTGTAGTTCCTTTATTACCTGTATGTTATTATATCCTGCCAGTACAGTTCCTACCATCATGCTCCACGTCCAGATTAGTTCCTCCCCACGAAACACCCTTCTTACCCGCACCCCTTATGTACCGCTGGCCCTTTAACTCAAATTTATATATATATATATATTCCTTAATTAATATATCAAGGCGTACGAAGTATAACTACCCATAAATAATTATACCTGCAGAATAAGGAAACTAGCCTGGGTGATAAAATTAACATCCATAATTAGAATAAAGCTGTCTTAGAAACATAATCCGAGATGAACACGTAACATGTGAGTAACCTGTTGCTAATATATGTATAAAATATCCACCATAGATATAACTGTAAATACATAACAGAGCAGCTGCCAGATATCTACACTATATTAACCTGGTTGCAATTAACATGTAGGACTGGCGGCTGCTCATACAATAGTCTAATTAATTATTGAGAGGCACTATTGCAGCTTGATCCTCGACCGAGCTACAAGGGTACTGGGGAGTGAGAGAGAGAGACCCAACTCTCTCTCTCTCTACATCCCACCTTTAAGTGACTCTTATTGTCGAGTTCTTGCCTCACGAGAGATGGAACCGAGTCAGATTCTTAAGTCCATTAACTTATTGTTAAGTGGGGCTTGTATATCCTCCCCCAGTTCGTCCCGTTAAAGTACTATAAGGATGATTTAATGTGTTTCCCCTTAATCCACAGTGATATGTTTCTAAGGCTGTTGGTTTCTAGCTCTCATTAGAACCTTCATCAATTAAGAGTTTTTAAAATAAGTAAACAAATACTTTCTAATATGAAGAGTGAATTATGCGAAGATACAGATTCTTATGTTAGATTATTACAAGAAAATACCCAAAGGTTATAATACTTCCTTTACTAAAATACTCTAAAAGTAATTGGTATTTATACGAATAGATTCCTTTACAATAATACCGAAGCGGGTCATCTGTCTTCATGGTCGGGTAGTTTGTTTTCCAAGTTTGATGGGACCAGAAGCAGGTTTTTCTAGCACAATGTGTTTTTGCAGGTCAAGAAGTTTTAACCCCTTATTGGTGATCTCTATCATTACATTTAGGAAATGGTTGGAACTACTTGGAATACTAATGTTGGCTTGAGGGTCATCAGAGGTCAACTGTGCTCGCTGGCGTATAAAGTAACATCAATGGGACGAGTAAACAAGTAAATATTATGAGTTATATTTATGCAATTCACACCTGTTAATTAAACCTGAGGGGGGGGGGGTAATTGACTTAGATGCTGTTCTGTGGTGTAAAACTTTAAAGATGGATTCAGGACATTCTACCCCTGTGAGTGTAGTTAGGATCTAGGATGGTGGTACAATATAGGTGCATCTTCCTATTCTAACTTCACTCCTATACACACTTGTTCCCCCTTTGGAGCTATAAGCCATTATGATCCTGAGAGAGACGAGTGTTTTGTGTTGTCATACCAAATGCCAAACTCTGTCACGCCCCTGTGGTTGACGACAGAGAGGAGCCCACTGTGTGGTACTGCGCCGCATACCACTCGACCATACGGGTACTTGCTCAAAGCTTCACCTCCACATCGGCAGTATTAATCATGGGAAGGATCAGTCATAATGAAAGCAAACTGATAACTGAACCCACATGTTAAAATAAAGTACACATTGTCTTACTATAGGACAATGAACGATCTACAGCCAGTTTAGTGGTTTGAAACTTAGTGAGTGTCGGTTCAGTCATCAGTCTGTTCGGAACATTGCTTTGAGTTGATGTTCAAACCAATCCACTGTTTCGAATCGTTGTTTGATCAGAAGTTCACTAGTTTCCCCTCATGTGGGTTCAACTATCACCTTCACCCTCCTACAACAAACATTGCTCATCTTGCCCTCCTCTCTGACAACTGAACCTGTTGTATAATGTAAGATAAGACGAGTTTTATCAATGGATATGATAGCGGACAGAGCCAGTCTAGTGTTGACTAATGCGTCGCCTCTTTGTTTTGTTAGACGTGATACTGCTGGCTTACGCGTCTCCTCTTCAACAGTTACACTAACATTCTTCACGTCAGGGTTTTGTTAATATACAGAAGCTAGAGTATTAAGTCACATGGAGACCTGAACTTCACTTTGTTACTCTCAATATTTTATCTTATTAGAAACTATCACTTTTCACCCGGCAACAACACTGACTGGACTAAAACATTAATATATAAATGTCAAGTTTTGAGGACAGATTTAATTATTAGAAAATTAATTCCGCATTTTTAAAACCAATTCAAGTAATGAGGATTTGTATATTAAATCCACTGTACAGTACTGATCTTTTAGCAAATTCAGTATCAGTTTTTTCTCCTATGTGTTCACTTCACACTGACTGTATTATTGAGTTTTGCACGGGCAGAGAGGAGGGCGAGGGGGCGAGGTTTGGTCATGCCATCACCCCATCAACACAACTGTGCCAGTACATAATCAAAATACACCCAAGCTAACTTGTGACAGGTGCAGCTGTTGAGCACCGCAACCTCTCATCCATTTGCTGGTGTATGACAGGTGATGTCAGCACCTGTCATGTCACAGGTGATGACAGTACCTGCCATGTCAGGTGATGACAGAAGCTGTCAACAAACGCAGGTGATGGCAACACCTGGCAAGTCACAGGTGATGATAGCACCTGTCAACAGTCGCAGGTGTATACCAACAGGATATACGAGCATTACTTTCCTGAGACATAAAGTCTCTAAGAAGGCTTTGATGAGTTTCCTAGCCATATGGAAGACATGTAAAATTTGTGAATATTTCACTTTTAAGTTAAATATTGCAACCTGAATCCGTCCACGATACCAACACTGTAAGGGTCCGTATCACCTTAAGTTTATTATTATCGTTCCAAAACATTATGAAGGACTTCTTTTTCCTGCTGCTAAACATGCAGACCAACACTCATCCTGACCCAGGGTGTAGGAGATACACTGCCCCCACCACTACCTGTACATTCCTACCGGGGCATTCCTTAGTCACAATCATCAGGAGACACACCACTGTAATCTATGAACCATCCCTCATGTCATCCATCATCCATACGTTCGAGAAATGATTAGTATTATGCATGAGGTATTTTGGTCACGGTTCTCGAGTCATCTTTTAATGTACCATAATAATAATACACGACTGTTGAACGATACCAAGGTTTTGTTTACCTATTTACCTGCAGTTAAGTGACTGGTATTGTTTATATTTGTGTCGCGTGCAAACAAGAGATACAAGTTCTGTTTACATCATGTTTATATGAATACGAGTGACACATGATATTGTTTACATCATGTACTTAGCGTTGCAGTTAGTGACACTTTATATTGTTAACTTGACAGTGTTTCATCCGATGTAAATCCTCTTCAAATGTATATACTAACTCCAAGTGTGTTTACTTTCAATAGTTCAGTATAAGAGAAACTCCTCAGTTGATGGCTATAACAAGTATCATCATCTCTCTCCATAAATCGTTTGAAGAGGAAACAGACAGTATTTGACTCACAGGAGCTGTTGGCCAATCAGAGCCTGTGTTAATGGTGTTAATAACATCTTGTGTTGGTAATACTTGGTCTGAGGGGGAACACCACCACGCTCTTACACCTGTTCTTAACACCTGTCACCTGAGACCTACTTAACGATGGTGTCAGGGGACTCGTCTAACCTAACCATCACCTCCCCTTATGTTAGATCTGTGACTATACTTAACAAACAGATATGACGATATACTGTGGTGTCTCGTGGACCAAGTTTTATTAACACAGGTGATCAGTCCGAGGACGACGTGTAACTGTGTATACCAATGTGTCCACTGGGTATTATATGTAAATAGTCTCCAATGTGTATACGGAACCACGGGCTCCCCCTTTATCAAATGTGATACCATGAAACTTCAAAATATTGTTGAATTTAATAGATTTTATGTATTCAACTTTTGTATTTAAAATTTTGAACAAATGCTCAATAAATATTTTATGAAACATATTGTTGTTGTTTCCTTCATACATTAATGTATCTGTTATGTAACTTAACCCTTCTACAATTATGTATATAACTGTATGTATACTTTTCTTCCTGCTGCCTACACATACCCTCTATCACTGTCCAATAACAAACTTCAAGTAACAATTCTTTAAATAAATCATAATAAATAATTGAATAACAACAACTAGTCACCATGTTCAGCTGACACGTTCAATAAACATTAATATAAGGGAAGTACAGCAGATCTATATTATGGTGATCTATTGAGTAGACGCCACTTCCTCCATGTTGAAGGTTCGGTGACACCTCCAGGGATAACAGGATTAGGTGAATGTTTAACTAAATAGTCTTATATAGAATGTTAAAAATTAATCTTCTCGATACTTATTGAAACACACACTCTCTCTCTCTCTCTCTTGGTTACATCTAGAATATATTCATGTTAATGCTCCGATAAATGTTTATTTTCATGATCAATGTTTACAGGCGACGTAGATGTTTCATCCTTCACTTTAAATGTCTACATAACACGATTTAAAAATACATAACATAGGAACTGTTCACTAGTTCACTACACATGCCTAGATAGTCACGACCACACACACACACCTTGGTAAATGTTCACTATAAAATCCCAAATCCCACATCTAGTGAGACAAATAGGAAACGCCAGTAAAATGTTCAACCAACTGAACACAAATGGCCTACATATCCACTAACTCAAGCTCATATCTTTCATTATATGTTCATTGTTCAACTTAAATGTCTATCTTTCATTAACCTTCACTTGTTCACTATAAATGTCTATCTTTCATTATATATGTTCACTTATTCAATATCAATGACCAGGTAGCCACTATTATGAATATCTGTTCACTGCAATTCCACACACGTAACAACCACACACAACGTTTTTTTTTTAATACGAATGCCCACACAAGCCAGACGTGAAGCACAGGACCTCCAAATGCCGTTTACACTGCAGCACATAGTAAAAACACCCACATCCTTAAAACATCCGTACTCTAATACTGTCCACTAACTATACCACACCCACATATATACACAGATTTACCACATGTGGGCACCACGAAAGAACTGATTGTAAGTCCCCACAGAGTAAATATAATCTTATCTTAAACCGCCCACAAATCTAGAACTTAAAAAATTCTCACTTAAATGAATGTTCAGCCAGACTATAAAGTGTTTACATAAGTATTCAGCTTACATAATTAACGCCCATAGATGCAGAGGATTTGACACAGGTGCTTCAGTCACTGTTCATGAAAACCGCCCACGTAGTTCTTATATTTCCCCTAGTTGTAAATGCTTTTGTAAATGGTCAAGATTAATTGCCCGCATATTAAGTAAATGTTCAAGATAAATGTTCAAATACCCAGAAACAACGACATGTTCAACGAAATGTTCAGGTGAAACTTATATATAAACCTAATAAATGAACACCTTTGACCCACCACCCAGAGAGGAACTTTTCACAGAGGTGCTCCAGTAAAATGTTCACAGAGGTGCTCCAGTCACAGAGAGTGTTCACAGAGGTGCTCCAGTAAAATCTCCACAGAGGTGCTCCAGTAAAATCTCCACAGAGGTGCTCCAGTAAAATGTTCACATGTTCAGTGAACCTTAAGTGAGTAGTGAGACAAGAGTTCACAAGTCCACCTCTCACCCGAGGGAGAAAAACTTGCCGGGACCAACGCCCAGACCCAGTGAAGCCCCCCGGCACACCTCACCTCACACAGGAGACCTACCCTGGCACACCTCACCCGCATTAGAGACTTCACCGCGGCACACCTCACCTCACATTAGAGACTTACCCCTGCACACTTCACCACATTAGAGACCTACCCTGGCCACCTCACCTCACATTA